GAAAGAGAGAGAAAAAAGTGAGAGAGAGGCTTTCTGGGTTGAAAAGTGAAGCAAATTGATTTTAATTATTAGTGATAAGGGAATATAGATATTTATAAAGGATGTGTAACACCTGATTCCCTCCCTCCTCCCCTGGTGATTCTCATAGGCTCCCGGCTGAAGGAGGGAGTATCTGGGCACATGGGCAGGGTCCTCAGATGCTGGCTGTGAAAAAAAGTTGAAAAAAAATAGGGCCAAAGAGAGAGTGATAGAAGTGACAGTAAGCAGAAAGAGAGAAAAGAAAACCAAAAGGCTTGACTTCCATGATGTCTTAACCTATACCGAAAGCCTAGTAGAGAAAATATTATGAGAAGGGAATATTCTAAAGGCTTATCCTGCCTTCAGTCTCATCTGCTACCTCATGGAGGGGAGTGGGGAAGCTGCAAACATGAGCTTCAGAAGTGTCCTTGGTTGTTATCAGTCCACTGGTGCTGCTAAAAAAAGTTCACTGAAATTAAAAAAAAAAAAAATCAGCAAAGAGAAAATCCGCTTCACCCTGGTTCAAACCAGGACAGGTATCAAGTCTACTCTTCGACTTCTTTTTGTCCCTTTAGACTCAGCTGCTGCTGGTGCCTGTTTTTCTTTTTTCCACTTCTCTTTGCTCTGATGCATCCATCATCCCTGTGTGCCATCAGGAGTCATCAACGAAAGTATCAGGCATGCTAAGGCAGATGTTGATTTTGGTTCAATCTGAGCCCTCCAAACTTTCAGACCCTACTTTGAAGCCAAGATTAATTTCTCTGCACTTCAGCCTTCTTCACAAATACTCTTTCACATGTATTATGTCCCATCCCCCATTCTTGCTGTCTGAAGTCTTTAATTTCCTTTTAAGTCTCTCGTCTCATATCTGTGTCTCTACTTCGACAATGTCTGGTAGAACTTTCAGGGATGGTTTAAGATAATATTTCACCCAAGCTACCCTCACCGATGTATCCAGCAAACTGGAAAAACCAGTGACGCTCCAGCCCTTTCCAACCATGATCTGACATCATGGCTGAGCTGCTCATGGGTTTGCATGGAACCACCATGCCCAGGAGGATGAGGGACAAGCCCTGAACCCTTTCTGTGGCAGCTGTGGCTGCTTTTGGCCAGGAGCAGGAGTGGCTGTGGGGGTGGGACATTTTACAGCACAGCAGCCACTCTGCTCATTGAACATGAGTCAGAAACCCCAGTCTTGCATATAATCGTTGCAGTTCAAAAAACCTGTAGTTTGTGCAGAGGCAAATTAATGGAAAACAGTGGGGTGCTTTTGTTCTTGCTCCTGGTTTATTTTTTCCCCCCTAATTTTAATGGTAATGAAAAATGGCAAGAAATTAAGACTCATATCTGAGATCCACTTTGTTGTGTTTAGAATGGTTAGGAAAGAGAAGCATGAGTTTGTACCTGGGATTGACACTCCTTATTCCGTAAATGCAGCTGAAAGCCTGGTCTTCCATGCAGGTGAATGAAAAGCAGACAGGAAAAGAAGCTGCCTTGTTGGACATGCTGTTAACAAAGAATGGCCTACTTTGACTCACCTTACAAGGCCCCTGTGCAGAGGTCTTTGCTTTTACACATACTGCTTTTGCAGCCCAGTGGAATTTGCTAGTACAGGCAGTTTTGGATGCAGCATCAGACTCGTGGTGATCTACAGGAGAAATATTCCACCATGTCAGTGCCAGTGGAACTGAGAAATTCTTACAAAGCATCCCTATAGGGTCTGTAGACCTATGTAGGGTTTGTCTGGACAGCTTACTCAGAAATCCCTCCCCTTGTTTTTCAGGTTCACCTGCAACTTACTGGCAGCTCCATCATGTTTCTTTGAATGCCACACATAAATTCCGGGTTGTGTTTCAAGGTGTGAGAGGAAGTGGCTCATCAAAAGGAGGCCTCTCTATTGATGACATCAATTTGTCAGAAACTCAGTGTCCCCACCACATCTGGCATATCAGAAATTTCACAAGTCTCCTCAACACAACACCAGCAGGGGCAGCAGGAAGAATATACAGTCCACCTTTTTACTCTAGTGAAGGATATGCTTTCCAGATCAGCTTGTATGTAAATGGTACTGCTGACAATCCGTTTAATTTAGCAATATACTTGCACTTGATTTCTGGAGCAAATGATGATCAGTTGCAATGGCCCTGTGCATGGCAACAAGGTACCATGGTTCTGCTTGACCAGCATCCTGATATTCGTCGGCGGATGTCAAACCAAAGAAGTATAACAACTGACCCCCGGAAATTATCAGGTTAGTTAAAACCAGATGTTCTATCCAATACATTTAAAACATAGCCAAAAGATAAGGAGTAACATTTTCTCTTTGTATAAACTAATGCAGTTTTTTCAGCTTCTGGAATGTTCCATTTGCTCACAGCAACCATATCATTGATGCACAGACAGGAAAAAAAACCCCATACAAGTAGCTTAAGCTGAGACCCTGGATTTCAAAGCTGATTTGCATAAGAAACAGGTGGATGATCCACTCCTAAAATTTCCTTCATGTGCACTGTGGAGATGTATTTATATCTGCTTTAATGAGAATGGAAGTTTTCCAGAAGGCTTGAAAGAAAAATACTGAATTAACAATATACACAGTTCACACCAGGTAAAAGTAGAGCTATTAAACAAATCCCCACCCTCCTTGTAAAAGGTACAGTGGTGTCAGTGCAAATCTCCAGATGGACAAAGTACTGATTCATATTACATAATATGTACTTGTTCAAGGTGTGAGAAGATAAGAAGCAATTGTCCACAATAACTTGGAACTGAGGCAGCTGAGGTAAAGATGTAGCTCTTCGAAATCTCTATAAAGACAGATAAAGAAAAAAACCCATATTCATAGTTTTATAAAGATTGGCTTTAAGTCACAATTACTTTCTGCATTTATAAAAGGGTTTTGTCAAAAGAAACCACCTCCACCATTGAATTAGTTTTTTGGGCTTTCAGACCATAATATTAGTAAAAGAAGAAGGTACTAAAATGTTTAACTCACAGTATTATTTTTTTAAAAATGTATTTTACATCCATTTTTCTATGACATTGTTATTTTGTAAAAAAAAAAGTGGGTAATCTAGAAAGACTAAATGTCCTCCCTGTAAATGAAAGATGCACCACACGAGGTCCTCCATAGGCGGTTGACATTTTCTCTGTGCTCTCTGCTGTTATGGCCACAGTGCTTGGCCCTTTTCCTTCCCTGACCCTTTGGACACCCAGTCTGTCTGCACTCTGCTTCTCCCTTAAGTATTCATGTATCCCCACATTCCCAAGAGAAGCCTTGTAACTCCTACCCTTTGTCTAGCCAACAGACAGGCAGTTCCTTCTCCCTCTGTCAGATACTCTCATAGGCACAGACTCAGCTTTGAGACTCAGAACAGGGTTTGATGGGGAGGACGTAAGTGTTCTGTGGTCGTTCAAGTTGTTCAAGTACCCTTTGCCCTACATCCACATCAAGAGATGCTCTTTTCTTCAGAAGCACTGAAATAGTTAATTTTACAGATGTTTCATGTGCTACTCGTCACCCTGTCCACCACAATTTAAAATAACAAAAAAGAAAATACAACAGGTTTTTGACTAGCTCTCTGGTAACCTCATCTCCAGCAGGTTCTTTTCTCAATACCTCAGGCTAAACCAAGCCTTTAAAGATCTCCATTGTTTTGTGCATCTCAGCAGTGTGGAATCTCAGGAAAAAGAGTCTGCAAATGTTGTAGGCATGTTCAGCATTTTTCCTACTCCTTGAGATTCAGGTAATTTATTGTCTTCTTCATACTCAAGATATCCATGAGCAGCTAACCAAAAGCAGGCAAAAAGCAGGATGCAGTCTGTTGTTTGTTAAGAGAGGCCTCCATATGACTTTGCAACAGAGATTATCTGAGAAGGAAGAGACCGTGTTCAGAACAAATCCAGAGTGGTCCCACACTCACATTCAGGTTGTTTTTTTTTTCCAGATTCCTCCTCAAATTATTTTTGGGATAGGCCAGATAAAGTGGGGTCTCTAGCAACTTTTCCGAATGGAACTACGTTCATGAGAGGTCAAGGAAGTGGAACAAGTGCATTTTTAACTCATCAGAGACTTAGAAGCCGCAACTTTATTAAAGAAGACAGTGTTTACATTCTTCTAACAATGGAAGGTATGTAAACATAGCTGATATTCTTTATGGTACAGTAAACATAGAGTGTCACATCCTTACTAAGTCACTAGTGTAATAGATATAAATACACATGATGTGCTTTGTGTGTGAGCAGTTTTGAAACTACACAGGTATCTAAAGTCAAATTATATGCTTGAATACATTTGTAGATAGGTACATGCACTATATAATTCCTTTTCTCACATGAAGGTGTATAAAACAATTCTAATCTTATGAAAATTATTTTCAATAAAATGCTTTGAATAAAGTTGTCAGTTACTGAAAAAAAATATAGAAGATATTTCCAAAATACATCAGGCTCCTGAAAGGTAAAAAAGACCGTTTTTCCACTATACCTGTGAACAGACTCTTTGCTCTTGACTATTAGAACTAATCATTAGAATAAGGGGGAAAATAGCATGAATACCGTATTTCTTGTCTTTTTACCATGCAGATATATCACATCTACTAACAACTCAGCCAAATGCTACACCCACCTTTGCTACGAGTACACTCACTGGCCACACCATCAAACCTACCTCTAATGCCACTGCCACCACCACAACACCCACCACAACAGCCTCTGTCACCATAACCCAAAAGCCAGAGACAGAAGTTCCAGATTCCTGTCCAGACAACCCTTGTGAAAATGATGGTGTGTGTATTATTATAAATAGGGCACCAGTGTGCAGGTAACTGCTTTTATTCACTCTCAAAGGCAATTTTGGGGTACGAAATGAAAGTTTCTAGTAGAATAAATCTCTGTTGCTAATGAAAGGAAAGAAAGACCATAGCTGACTATGGCAAATATTTCCAACTGCTACTGCGAGTCTAACCTTATGACCAGTTTAGGCAACAAAGTTCCTAACCTCAGCATTTGACCATTTTGAAGTACTCTGCTTGACTTCCTTGTAAATTATATTTTAAACATGTTTATTGTTTTCAGTAATTTTTAGTCCAATGTTATAAAATGGACTGTGCATCTCCTTAGAAGTCCCTATGGCAAAATCCAGAAGAGTTAAATATAAATACAGTTGAAACAAAATAGCATTTATATCAGTAGTAAAAGTGTTTGATACTTCTCAGAGAGGAAGCTGTACAGACGTTATTTTAGCATTTGACTCAGAAATGTTGTGTAGGGCAGATTATGACCATGAATTGCCAAAGTGTTATGCTTCCCTGTGAAACCAGCAATGAAGGCTGAGGACTAAAAAGATTGCTTGCACTGCAAGAAAATTAGTACCAACTTCTACTTAATTCTCTGTGGATATATCTATGTAGCCTGCCTGGCTGCTTAGCATTGTTCCAACTCTCAAATAAGCTCTAAGGCTGAAGATAGTAGCCTTAAGTGATGCTGTGGCAGGAGAGTGCTGTGAGGCAAAAATCTAAAGGCTGAGAGCAAGAAGAGTCAGGATGACTCATTAATTGTTATATCTCCCCATTTGGAAACCTTTTAAAAAACGATTCTTGTGCAACCCATCAGAACCAGGCCACAAGTACCAGCAAGTGTCGAGAAACTGTTCCAAGATGACAAAAAAAAAAATTAATAATTATACTGAATGTTATGTCTCATTTCAAAATTTTGGGAAGAGAACATTTATTTTCTGACACCTCTGGACTATTTGAAGACCTAGTGCCAATGTGACCTACTTTCTGTCCTGGAGAAGTGTGTGACTAGCAGTCAGCTTGCACTCTGATTTTCTATTGGGAAACAATGGGAATCTGATACAGACCTCTGTTTAAGCCAGATCACTCAAGACAATTTTAAAAATAGAAGTCACTTTTGAGGTAATTTAGACTGCGGGATATAGAAACAGGGCATCAGAGATGCTGTTTTTCTTATGTAACCTTTTTCATGCCTCTAATCTTTAGGTGATAGCACATGCTTGTTCTTTTCTTTTCTAGATGTCCAGCAGGTGAGGACTGGTGGTACATGGGAGAAAAGTGTGAAAGAAAAGGCTCAACACGAGAAAATACTGTAATAGCTGTTTCTTCAACCATAGCTGTATTTGTTGTAATGCTTATTGTCACTATCACAACTGCAGTGTGCCTTAAAAAGAAATACAGCCATGGACAGAAAAATAGGGAGACACTGTCTCTAGAAGAAGTAAGTATTTTACCTCTGTCAATAAATATATATATAAATATTTATACATACATGCACACATATATATATCTATGTCTATTAACAACTAAACAATAACATTTAGTAAGAAGTAAATTGGAATGTGTCATGTTTTTTAAGTCTGAAGACTCCAGCTTAGGAATTAAACAGCTGCATTAATTGCTACTAATTAATCAAATATCAAAAAACTACTTTATTAAAAACCTGTTCTCCTCCTCCTCCCTCAGCCACTCTCACTGCCCCAATGGCAGCATAGATAGAGTGAGAGAGTGTGAACAAAAGGGGTAATTTTTAATTTGTAACTAAACCACATATTCCACTTAGTGGACTTGTATTAAATCTATTTTGTACTAAAGATCTCCCCTTAAAATACCTGGATATGGTGCTGGAAAACCCAACCCAAAATGTCAAAACAAAAAGCAAATGTAAAAATCACTTTCACTAGTCAATTGCCACTTTTCACACAAGGAACAAAGTAGCCATGGAAAATATTACTTAAGGAGACTTGAAAGAAAACAGCAGATTAAAATTATCTGAATGGTTGGATCAGAAAGGCCATGTAGAGAAGAGCAGAGACATTTGGGCAGGTTTTGACAGGAAGTTTCATAAAGTCCCAGGCAGCAGGACTCTTAGCTTAAAGAGAGACTTAGACATGGAAATTACAAGGCATGAAAGGCAAGCAACCTGAAGAGGAATGGCTTTCCAGAGAGCAGACTTCCATTTTGGTTTTTTCCTAATATTCTTTGTGATGTGCTATTGAGGTGCAATAGCTCTGTGCAGTGCCAGATACTTGACACTAACTTTATGACCTTCCAGTAAATTATTATGGTTTCTTTGTAATTAATTGTCTTATGTTAAAAGCACGTTTCCATTCCCTACATGCTTTTGATATGTGGGTTTGCTGTATTTTGTTTTTTTTCCCCATTTAGACTAAAACGTCCTTCTGAAGATAATGCAAATGAGCATCAAAGACACAAGATGAACATCACTGGAAAACCACAACTACATCATTCCTTCTATTGCTTTAATCTCAACCATCATGTAAAAGATTTGTAAAGTCTGGAAAATAATTCATCATCTGGATAAAATTCTGTGCTAAAGTCAATAAAGTGTCTGCCAGTGTTGTGTATTGCCATGGAATGGAGAAAGTTGGAAATACATTGTGTGAACATGCCTGTCCTGTGTTTTAAGTCTGCCGGAAGATAAAGAAAACAGGTAAAACTGCATCCAAACTCTCAATCAACAGAAGGACGTCTAGGTTTGCTATCTTATTATGATACAGATGTCTATTATGAAATGGAGATGGACTCTGTAATCATGGGTTGCTCAGCAGTTCTGGGTCCTAAAACAGCTGGCAGTCAGTAGTGTGAGGGTATGTGGAGAGTGGGGAGTGTCTGGCTCATTGAGTTATTAGGTTGTGATCTACTCAGTATAAAAGAAATAGCAAGTAATGAGGAAAATGATAAATTAACCACACAGACATATGAACCTTAATGAGGAAGAGAAATTCACAACAGAGAAAATAATGAGGATGCAAAATGCTTCAGCCACTGCTTGATGGTCTGTTGAAGGATCTACTCAGGCAGAGCCTTCCAGAATGTCAACCTGAACAACAATTTTTAACTAATAGAAAGGGGGAAACATGATTAATGTGAGTATTATGGGATACTTGAGGCTGTTTGGGATATAGGCTATCAGAAGAGGCTTGTGGACTTATGTAAAAATGTCTATGGGGTGTTTAGGGGAAGCTCCAAAGAATCTAAAGAAAAGGGGAAAGGTCACTGTGGATCAGACAGAAATTAGTGTGGGAAAACGATGACAGTAGCTGGAGAGACCAACATGCAAAAGAGATCTGTGTACTGCCCATAGCTAGAGCAGACCACAGGTCTTAGATTTTGTGGATCTACGTACTAGCACACAGAGAGATCTGCATGCAAGAGAATGTGTGTCAGTAAGTGGAGGGATTGTAGGCAGCAGGACTTGGGCCATAGGGCTTGCAGGACTGAGAGCCTGTGATATTATTCAAGGGTTCCATGACTCTGGGAGAGCTTATGTTATGACTGTGTGAGAGTATGCATCCATCTCACTAGCAGGCATCACATTGCTCTGTCTGGCAATTAGCAGATGACGTGCATACCAGTTAAAGGACCCTAGGTCCAGGGATGGATATGAAACAGTTTTAGAGTCCATGCTAACATTTGAGGGGTCTGTGAGTGTGGGTGTGCTTAGAGATGTGCAGAGTGAGAACATGCATGTTCTCACCAGAGAACCTCCATTCTGATCAGCTGGAGGGGAGGAAGAGGATGGGGCTGTCTGCACTTGTGTGAGTTTGGGTGTCATTTTAGGTGGGTTGTGCTACCTGCACTGCTCTGTGCGTGTGAGACTGTCTCTGCAGCCAGCTGTGTAAGGGATCTCTGTGTGTCTGTGTTCCTCTGTGTTTGTGAGAGTGTGTTTCTTCACTACACACTGAGCCCTGCTACAGGCCAGACCTGCAAGCAGGAAGAACAGCAACTGCACCCCTAGGATTGGGATGGAGAGATCACTTGGGACCTTCCCTGGCTGGGCACGTTAGCTGGGGAGGAGGGATGTTGAATTTGGTGTCTTCCTTAACATCCATGATAAGGAGGGCTACAATTCAGAGGGATCTGGAGAATGAGGTAGGTATGGAAATAGAAGGTTCAGAGGAAGCAAAGTTTTCTTCCCTGAGGACATTTTGCAGAGGAAGATTGTGGTCACCAAGGACACAGATCATCACATTTGCATTGTTTTGGAGGGAGGATGCAAGGGACAGGAGGGCCAGTAATAGAAATGTCAGGTCACACCAGATGGTTGGTAGGCTGGTATGTGGATATGTTCACATTTAAAGGTCAGCAGCTACTTTGATTCCCTGGAATGGATGTTGATGATCATAACATTTGTCGTGCATTTACCCTAACTATGGGCAAGAGCAGTTCAAATGTATGGAAATTTGATGAGGGAGCTGGTCTTCCTCTGAATGCCACTGCACGGCTCAAAGCAACAAATGTATATACTTCTGGACTGACATTTTATATGTAATCCTCTTCTCATTAGTATTCTCTGAAACGTAGTTATATTTAAAGCATTCATAGCTGGTTTTACTAGCTTTTGTCAGATCCCTAAGAGTCATTAAAACAGCCAGACAAAATTAACAAACATTTGTCAGAGCTAACAAACATCCTGGATAGGAAAATACCCTACTATAGATGCCTTAAAATAACTTTCTTATTTTGACATGTCTTCATCAGCAGTTTTCATGCAAATAATCCTCCAAATGTGCTTTCAATTAAGATATGCACATAGATTTACATGGAGTTAAGAAGACACAGATGAGACTGTTCATAAATTCAACTCTGGCTGAAATACTTAACATTATAAATTGTGAGCATTTCATAATTTCAAATGTGAATTACTAGCTTTGTGACTACAGAGATCGTTTATATTTTTTTGAAATCCAGATTACATGAAATGGCATACTTACCTGTGCTTTCATCACAAGAGAGTTTAATAGACAGAGCCTTATATTACAATATTTTGTGCAAGATACAAATTCTGTAGGGCGTATTCCGGAATAGTAAATTTCCATGGGAAAAAAGCCTTAAGCTTCTGCTTATTCTTTTCCAATGGGAATCAGTGAAGAGCACAACTTAAAACTGCATCTCCTGCTCAGTGAGTGTGAACAACTCACTTTTCACTGGTGTGTAGATTCCGTAGAGCCAAAAGAGACTGAGGTTTGATTAATGTCATTAACTGACCTAAAATATTCAAGATGAAAAGGTATTTTTTTTTCAATTTACAATGCAAAAAAATTGCTCAGGAAGTCCAGCATCATATCACAGAAGTTATACTACCAGCTCAAGTTCCTGAACAAATAAGTTTTTCTAAAAAAACTGTAGCACAAATGACTGACAGTGATGGTATTTTTCTGTGAAGAAAGGAAGTGATTAAAAGTACCTCTATGGCTTAGGAAACTAAGCACTTCAACTGGAGTTTTCTGCATGAGTAAATGCTTTACCTGGATTTGCAATTTAACTGGTTGCAGTTGCAAAGCCCCAGTACCAGTGGTCTCATAAAAACAGCAACAAAAATGCACCAGCCCAGGTCCTGCAGCTTTCCTCTGGAGCTGACTTACCTGCTTTACAAAGACCTTTCCTACACGATTACTAGGACAGCATCTGTTATTTTTAATGAAACAATTAAATTTTGAAAACGTACATTTGACATATTTACAGATAATAAGGATATTAATAACAGATCAGATACTCCGTTGGTCCGTCAGAGGACAGCCTAGCTGTTTACTTTCTGAAAACAGATTTAGTCACCTAAACTTTTACTAAAAATCTTTGATGTAAAGTTGTGTGACATCACTGAGATACTACTATGATAGTAAGCTCCATTAGCCTTAAATCTGCACCAAGTTCCACTGCTCTTTCTTGTCCTTCTCACGCTGTAGTGATTCAGGTTAAAAGCTGCAACAAGGATTTGCGCTGGCACGTTCCACTCTCTACAGGCCAGGGCTACTGTAAAGAACCTATAATTGGGATATGAAATCACAGAATCACAGAATCATTAAAGAGGAAAAGACCTCTAAGGTCATCAAGCCCAACCATCAGGCCAACACCACCATGCCCACTATACCATGTCCTAGAATGTTGTATCTACATGTTTTTTGAACACCTCTAGGGATGGTGACTCCACCACTTCTCTCAACAGCCTGTTCCAATGCTTGACCACTCTTTCAGTAAAGAAATTTTTCTTAATATCCAATCTAAACCTCCCCTGGCACACCTTGAGGCCATTTCCTCTCATCCTATCATTAGTTATTTGGGAGAAGAGACCAACCCCCGCCGCACTACAACCTCCTTTCAGGTAGTAGTAGAGAGCAATAAAGTCTCCCCTCAGCCAGGAAGGGAGCCAGTCTTCCCCGGATTAAACAATCCCAGTTCCCTCAGCTACTCATCATAAGACTTATTCTCCAGTCCTTATGCCAGTTGTCCAGGTCTCTGGCTGCAGGAAGTGCCAGAGCCTGTCACTCGTACTGGAGGGCAGCAGGGAGTTCCCACAAGGTGCAGAATGAGACCTTGAACTGTGGGCAGCGACTTCTTGGGTCAGCTGCCCTTGCTCCTGTTCCTCATTCAAGTGTGGATCTCTGCTGGTACACGGAGCCTGCTCCCCTTGCAAAGACCCGGGCATTAGTGAATGTTGTCTTCTCTGACCCTCTTGTCTGGGCCCCAGACTAGATGTACAGCTGGATCCAGCAGAGTATGTGCACATTGTATTTAAAGCTGTGTGCATGACTCATTCCCCACTGCTGAGTCTACCACAGTCACAGCTTGGGCTTGAAAGCAAAATAAAATAACCCTGATATTCAAGTCAGTGGCTCAGGTTTGGAATAAAACAGGTAGCCTGTTGTTCTAGCTACTTACTGGTCTGTCTTGAAGAATTTCAACATTTCAGAAAATCTTTTAGTCACGCCACCTTGTATCTATGCTAGGCAGTATACACAGCCTCATGTTCCTGATACAGGCCAAGTAGGACAATTTCATTGCTATTTGCATCACATGGATCAGGTCACTCAGTCTGGCTTTTGCACAAGTAGCAGATAACTGAATCATAATGTCTGATCGTCTGGCTGGCACCACGTTGTCTAAATGCAAAAAAGGGACTGATCCTAGACACGAGCTCTCTTCTTTCAGATAAGCGTGTTAGGTGTCCTGTACCACCCCTGCCAGGAAGACACTCTTCCAAGGTGCAGGGCAGGAGTCATGAACTGTCATTTTTTAAACTGCAGATAAGAACAGAGAAGTGATATTCCTCCATATTATTGTCCTTCCCACCTCTCCTTTTCCAATGTTATTAGAGCTCAGGGGCTTTTGCTAAGACATAGATGCCACCTGTCAGTTAAAGTACTTTTCATTCTCATAAATAGGATGTTAATTCTCCTGTCTGCTTGAATTACATTTTCCAAGCTATCCTTAGTACAGATAGTCATGTCTCAGAAGGAGAAGATCACCACCAAATAAACTGCCTTTTCTGAACTGTCAATTGCTGTTTCTCAAATCTAGACTTGTTGCTTAGAGACTTTTGTGCTATTTGATGCAATAACAGCAAAATATCTGTATTTCGCTCAGATTGTGCTATGAAATTATGAAGAAATTAAATATATGGTGTTCTCATTTTCCCACTTCTTTCATATATTCCAGTTTATTACAGAAGACATCTCTAAAGTAAAGTTTTAATAATTCATTTTATGCAAGAATATTATGTACTGTTTTTGCAGCAGACATACTCTATGTGACTGGTCACTTTGTTGTCTCCCCTTTCTGAGCATCAGTAGAATGAACTGGGGGAAAAAAGACCACAGCAACTGAGATTGATCACCCCTCCTACCTGCAAATTAATAATTTTCTGTAGTGTATATGGATCAGTCTCCTTTGTATTAAACTTCTTCAAAACCGTGACCATTGTCACCTTCTTCTATTTTTTCATGGAATGATTTTTTCTCTTCTCCCTCCCCAGTCAAAGTTCATTACTTACAACATGTACACTATAACTGGTATCATAAAGCTTGCAGACAGGTTTGCATTCCAGTTTTCATCTTCATTTGCTCACAAATTCTTACACTTCTTCCACCTGAGATGAAACAGTCCATGCCTTTGACTTTACCTACTGCGAAAACAAGAGAGTGTCAAAGAAGTTTAACTTGAATGTCTAGAACTTAAAAGAAAAAAAATCAAACTTTATTGTTTCCCAAGGTTGCAATGTTTAATCATACCATACATTACATAAACATGATTGCTCTTCCAGTGTGATATTCATGGGGAAAAGAAGTTTGTGTACTCTTTATCAGATTTAAATCTTATCTCTAAACGATTTGGTGGAACATTTTGATTAACTTCTTAATGACAGCATTTCTGCTTAGCCGTTGCTGACACGTAACGAGAACCAGCGATCTTGTTCTGCTAGAGTTCTGAGTATGTGCATTTGCCCTTGATATTTTTAACACCGTCTGGATCTAAGCAGTTTATGCAACAAAATGCAGATCAAATCTTGTCAGTAGCACGTCTTCCTCTTCATCTGTGATTGATTTTTTTTTTTTTCCATACTTCTCATCATGTTGGGAAGACTCGGCTATGAAGACAGCTTTCACTCATGGAAATGATGTTTGCTTGTCCAGAACAGAGTGTTATGGATTGCATACCATAACATTGTAACTTTAATTTGTTAAATAAGTAAGTAGTTTATTAAGTTTGGTAGTTATTAAGTAATTTAATGAACTTTGTTTATTAACTGCAGTAGGAATCTCTGTTGCTCCTTAGAAGAGTCAGGTTTCATTCTGGCTGCTACTGTCATGCTTTCATAATTAGAAAAATTTGTCAGGGTAAGCTGAAGGTAAGGAGAGAAACAGAAACTGAAACTATCGATCATCTCAACTGGTTAAGGAACATCCTCTGCAGGCAGTCAGGGCAACTGCAAGTTTGCCTTGCTCAAAAGAATAATGACTGTGCTTAAGCTTTAGCATGCATGACTGAGAAGAATGGAAAAAGAAAAGCCACTGGGATAAGAGTATATTAATTTCCTCAAATGGAAAAAAAATCAGACCTCCGGCTGCCCCCACCACAGCACTGCAGAGTCTCTTTGGGCAGCTCTCTCCCTCAGGGAGGTCTGGGGAACTCACAGGATGATGGGGAGGCTGCTCTGGCACAAGCATCACACAAAACATATTTCATCAGTAGAAGCTGGAGGACTGAAGAAAAGCTTAGAAGCATAACCTGACAAGGCCAGTGGTGGAGCCTGGTGGTGTTGACTCTGCTGTCCCTGTGGAAGATTATCCCTTCATAGGCTGCTGCTGAAGGCTATTGCTATTTATTAATATGAGTGGTTTATGGCTTGGAGGTTTTATTGGAGGAACTGGTGGAGAACGAGGCTGGGTTTCACAGAGCCACTGAAGACCAGATATAAATATTTGTCCTCCTCCTTTGGGAGTTAAGTCCCTATCCTGCACCCAATCCCCATTTCCAGGAAAAGCCAGTGCTTCCCAGTCCGGATGCCCCACACTGGCTTTCCTGGTCAGGTCTCTGAGCAGGCACACAGTGGGAGTGACTGGGAAGCCATTTGGTTGACATCAAACCTCCCTGCTGACTACAGACCCGTCCATGAAAGATCTGCAGAGCACTACCTGGCAACTGCCTTTGCCCTAAGAGTAAATCTTGAGCTTTGAAACAAATTTGAATTTCTAAGAAATACAAATAGCCACAGACGCATCCGTTTTGAATGCAGTCTCAGCAACCTCAAAGGTATTTCTGAAATTAAATGTGGGGAAGGGAGGAATAGAAGTTTATGTACCTTTTTTCCCCGGGGTTTCAAATGAACAAACCATTCTGCCTTTTGTGCTAGCAAAGTCATAGAAATGTTTTCATTTACACCATAATCTTGCCTGAGTGTTTAGACGAGGTGGTGTCACTTGCTTTACCAAGAGCAAGTCATCTTGGCTTCCACTTGCCTTCATTCTCACCCATATTGCACAAACCACTTTGCAGGCATGTCAGATCACTCTCAGGTTGGCTGTGCTTGGACGTAATTTGCTTTCCCACTTGTTTCCCACAGTATCGCAGTCATCTGGTGGACCAGGACTGGGTGGGCTAAAAACATTGGTGGCTTTTGTCTTTTTTTTTCCTTTTTTTTTTTTCCCCCCACAAATATTCTTCAGCTATAAAAGCCCTTTCCATTTTTTATTAAGTGTCAGCAAGATAATTTCATGGCTTTGTTGCCAAAAAACCTCCACGGGCCGCGGCGCAGGAGCTGGGGTAGGTGGGTTCTTGCTCCCGCACACACGGGCACACAGTGTGCAGCCAGGCACATGAGGGCCATTGCACCACAGGAGGACTTTAGAGCTCAAAAGACAGAAAGTTTGATATCTCTGGAGATGCACTGCTGAGCATAATTTTCTTAATCAGCAGCTACAGCTGCTGTCAACTGCCTTCCTGGCAACCCCCTGCTGCTGGTGGAAGCAGTTTAGGGAATATTTTGCAGTATGAAGATCACCTCTTAAAGGGGAAAGCAGAGCACTTTCAGCTGTAGAGCCAAAGCTTTTTGCACACTGGTCTTAAGAGAACTGGAAAAAATTAAATAGCTTAATAAGCAGTAGAGAAATTCTGACCTTTCTTTGCTACCATTTTGTTCAGCACATTCGTGAATTATTAATTTGTTCTGAATAACTTGTACATTATTTCCCTTAGTTTATGAAACAGGAGTGCAGTAAACAGCCTTTCCTTCCCCTCCACTTTTGGCTTTTGTCACAAGGGGTGCTGAAAGTATTTAAGCAGCTGTTGTGTAGTTGGCCTCGGAACCTCTGTAGCTCCGGCTCCAGAATCCCAAGGGTCGACCTCGAGTCTCCCCTGGTGCTTTCTACCAGAGGCTCCAGTTGGGACCATTGTGTCCGGCTGCAGTGTAGAGCACGTTCTTGATGTCTGGCCCTGTTCGAACTGGTCCAAGGGCCATTGCCTGCACAATCTCCTTTTTGATCTGCTCAAAAGCTTTCTGTTGGTCAGGACCCCATTTGAAATCATTCTTCTTTCTGGTCACCTCATAAAGAGGTTTCACAATTTCACTGTAACATGAAATATGCATTCTCCAGAAACCAACAGTCCCCCAAAAGGTTTGAGTGTCCTTTTTAGTTGATGGTGGGGCCATAGCTGTTACTTTGTTAATCACATCCATTGGGATCTGGCGACGACCATCTTGCCACTTGATTCCCAGGAACTGGATCTCTTGCGAAGGTCCCTTGACCTTGCTTCTTTTTACAGCAAAACCAGCATCCAGAAGAATTTGGATGATCTTTTTACCTTTCTTAAAAACTTCTTCTGATGTGTCACCCCACACAATGATGTCATCAATATACTGCAGGTGTTCTGGAGCTCCACCCTTCTCCAGTGCAGCATGGATCAGTCCATGGCAAATGGTTGAGCTGTGTTTCCACCCCTGGGGCAGTCGATTCCAGGTGTACTGGACTCCTCTCCAGGTGAAAGCAAACTGTGGCCTGCACTCTGGTGCTATAGGAATAGAGAAGAATGCATGAGCAATGTCAATAGTGGCATACCACCTAGCTTCTTTTGACTCCAGCTCATGCTGAAGTTCTAGGATGTCCGGTACAGCAGCACTGAGTGTTAGTGTCACCTCATTCAGGCCACGATAGTCCACTATCAGCCTCCACTCGCCACAGATCTCCCCATAGTGTCTGAGCTGGCAGAGTGCAGGTGCGGCCTTGAAGCCTCAGTAGTTAGAAAAACATTCCACTGTCTTATCAGCCTAGCAGAACACACTGTTGCTAGTTACAAGAAAGCTTAATGAAGGAAAAAAAATCAGTAAAAAAGAAAAATTGGCTTCATCCTGGCTCAAACCAGGACAGCAGCTACTGGTGAAATCAGAATATTTTTTGCACACCCCTCCCTGGAGTGACTGTGGCCATGCATGTCTGGATGACCTCAACTGGAGTCATTAGCAGGATTACACTTACCAAAGGTCTTTTCCCACCTGCAGAAGGCCTTATTTATCATTCAGCCTCAAACTTCAGTTACATTTAACAGCATGGCAACCCCCTGCAAATACGCAAGTGTGCAGTATAAAAATTTAATGGAAGGGTCTCAGCAACCAGAGCCCCAACTCCTCTTCATGGATGTGCAAAAGAAATGAGGGCAGGAGGAGCATGATGGTCACCTTCTTCAGTCCCAGGGACTGCAGGATGTACCCTCAGACCTCTGAGCTGGGCACAGGAGATAGTCATTAAATATTTGCTGATGATGTCAGGGGCTAATTGCTCCAGTAAACTTGAATCTTGGTAATTTTCAAGCTCTGGCAGGAGTGAACTTGAATGAGATGAATGTTCTTGCGTTTACAAAGTATTTTTACAATTAATTGCCGAAATACTCCTGGGAAATGGGAAATCAGTTTCCTCAATTTATTGGGAAGACCGCTAAATCAGGACTATTAGGAGGCTTAAGTAAGAGCAGAGAGTAAATTGCTATCAAATCAGATTGAGAAAAGGCAACCTGCCAGTACCTGTTTGTCTGGTGATTTGCTGCCCCAGTGGTGCCATTTAGTCCAGTGGTCACAAGAAGGGACATGGCTCTCAGTGGGAGCAAATGTAGGACCCCTGGCAGCCCTGCTCTGCCATGGTCACAATCATCCTTGAGGCATTTCTTCCTTCTTGGCCCCCAAAACCTGGCAGCTGTTGGCTTCATTACTGCTGGCAGACAGACCTAATAGCTGGATGAAGCTGGTGGGGACAGGAGAGCCAGGAGTCCCGGCTGAGGGGTCAGGCAACACTCACCCTAATATTGCTGACTACGAGGGAGCCTGGGACTGTGGCCCCAAAAAGCAGTTTGCTGGGGAGCTGAAGGGTGGCTACAGCCAGGCTTTATAAGCTTCCACTTGATCTTCTTAATAAGTATTATTTATTCAGTGTTTCTAAGCTCCTTCCCTCTAAAGGAGGAAGATGCCTCTGACAGTGTTGCAAGTAGGTTGTGAGTATGTTGAAACAGATATTGAGAAGTGACAAAGTTTTTCCTCTTTTCAAGTAAGAAAGATCAAAATTTTCGAAGTTTAAAACATTCACTTAAAATTTGTAAGTACTTTAAAACATCATCAGTATTTTTTTTTACTTTTTTTTTACTTTTTTTTTTTCTTTCCCCCTATGGTTGCAGCCTTTTATTTCATACATTATTCCAAAACACAGCTTCCATATCAATGTCATGAGGTGTAATGTTCAACTTCAGTTCAACATTGTGAGAAAGCTGTGAGCAAATCAAATAAACACTTTTAAGTATTTCAGCTGCAGGAGCCTGCCTTGTTCCACCAGCCTCTCCAAAAGCACAGGTTCAGGCAATTGACAGATAAAGCATTACAGAGACACATTTGGGAGCTATCAAGTTCCCAGAGTTGAAGGATTCTGGTAAGAAATCCTCCATGCTTTAGAATTGTTATTGGTTTTTTCCCCAACTCCTCCAGAATGCTCCTGAATCTTAGGGAACTTGAAAATCTTGCTCTAAATTGATTTAGATAGTTGTAAGGTTACATCAAAAATATTGGTGCATAAGAATTCCAGTTGCTCATTTCAGCCAGAAAGAGAAGTTGGCATTTCAAAGGTCAGGAGTGTAAATTTTTATTAAAATATATTTGTATTTAAATATATATATATATAAAGGAACAGTCCTTTGGATTGCAAAGCCCAGCAGATCCATCAGCATGTCATTGAGTGTCATTATAACAATTGCTTTGAATCTTCATGGCTCCCCATGTGCTGTATGTGGGCACAAAGCAATGTAATTCAGGTGCTGGGCAAGTGCTCTTGACAAAGGGTTGTTGGGTAACAGTTCCCATCTGTACTGACATGTTTAAAACCTCTAGTAGTCCAGTGTGGATGCAGTGTTTCAGCAGTACTGCCAATAAGTCACTGTGCAAGTTGCTCTCTTCAGGAGAGAAAGGATGTAGTCCAACAGAAAGATTTGAAAAGGAATGTTGTTTTAGGCCAATCTATTTTTAAAGCAAGCTATCAAATATTTGATTGAAGCTCTGAAAATAAATAAATATCTTGATTTGTTCAAGGAAGATGACACCTCTGCCAGGTGCTGTTATGTAGCAGGTTAGCATTGTCAGGCTAATGTAACTTAATTACAGGTACTGAAAGCAAAGCATTTAGAAATAAAGTCACAACTGAACAGCCACTGTGCCTACAAGTGACAGAAGTAGAATAGTTCCATCAACTTGAGAGATAAACTGAAGACCATTCATGAAATCAGTGGGTGTCTCGCCCCAATGAGCAGTGCAGGATTAAACTCGATTGTGCATCACGCCAGTACTAGTCAGAAACATAGAACAGATGTCAAGTAAATAGGGAAGTGTGGGACAAAACAGAAATAATTGTAAAAATGTGCCCAAGGATAAAATAAATTGATCCTAAGACACTAACAAACATTCTTGTATAAGACAAAATGAGCCTTTGTACTGGATTGGCTTTTATTTTCTTGCTTATATTGTATAACAGAACTACACTAGCGTGATAGGAGGGGGGGATAATAAAATAACTTATCAATGCACTATTAACTCTACATGCTTTTACCTAATAATAAGATATTGATGTCTCCTTTAATGCGTGTCCCATTGTTGAGAACTTTCTCATTACCCCACAGTAGCATACACAAAATGGCTTTTTTAATATACTCACGGCCATGAACGTTTGGTGCTAAAGACTTGCTTAAATGGTCAAAGATACCCTATTTAAGAAACAGCAAACACTTACATTGCACATTACCAACATTAGAATGGAATCTCATTATCCATTAGCCAGTATTAGTGCAATTTATAACTTACTTTAGTTTGAGCTTTGCAGAATTTCTTGATCTTTGCCACATCATCAGCTGGGAATGCGGGTGTTATTTCTTTGCTCATCAGTTTGGTATTATTAGCCAGCATTATTGTCCTGGGTATTTCCATCAAGATACAGAGAAATGTCATGAGATTAACTGTTCAATAGATGAACTCTTAAATACATACTGGACCATTGTTTTCATGACATGAAAAGCTGCTTAGGAAAGAGAAAGTGCAAGTGGAATAAAAATCAAAGAAATTATGGAGTTTTATCCATTTTA